CCCATTTGTAACAAGCTAGAGACATCTAAACTGCACCGGAATGGCTGAGCTGGTGGGGAGGATGCTCAAGGCTTTGGTCGACTTTGCATATTTGAAGCCAGCAGATGCTCAGTCACCTCCAGGCTCAGTTTTGGAGAGGCCTTGAGTTTCATTTTTTCCCTATTTGCACTCAAAACAACAATGTAAAGACCTGCACCACTGCAGGTCTTTGCAAAACCAGAGTCTATTGTAACCGTGTACAAGAGATTCTCCCTGCTCACAGACCCCTGTATGAAAGCATTCTGTATTTATTCTGTCTTCTGCAGCAAGGAGTAATTGTCCCATGCCTGATGTATGCTATTCAAATGAGAGAAACGATGAAAAATGCAAAGGAAAATCCCCACCTACCTGCACGCTCAGAGCTCTGTTTTCCTGTTTATCCTCCTTATACTTCCTTTCCATCAACAACAGGGAGGTTTTTTTTTTCTTTAAAGGATAGGGGGGAAGCCTGTGCTCAGCCTGTGCTCCTTCCCAGGCTGTAAAATGGGAGCCAATTATTCCTCCCTGTGTCTCACAGGAAGCTGGAGGTTAACACCATATAGGGGGAGAAAAATCCCCCCCCACCCCGAACCCAGCTTGTTAAAAAGAAAAACAACAACAGAACAAAACAAACGAGAAATCGTGGTACAACGATTCAGGTAGAAAGTGAACAACAGAGCGTGGGGTTTCAAGTGAGAGATAGATGGGAAGGAGACTGGGGTGATATTGTTGTGCCAGCAACAAACACAGCCTCAGTGCTGCTCCTTTGCTGTGACAGATCCATTGCCACCCCCGTGCTAAAATAAAGGGATGGCAAAGGATTGCTGCTAGCATTACCTGTTGTGGCCCACACAGGCATCTCCTTGCTGCAATATCTTGTAGCTAAGCAGCATTTCAGACTCCTTTTGCTCAGGCTCGGTCTTTTATCAAGGGGAAAACCTTGATACAACAAGCTGCTCACACCAAATGACTAGAAATGGTGGTGCTTGAGATCAAAACCTCATCCCTTGCTTCATCAGACTGGATTTCGAAGGGAAGTTTGCTTGTGCCCCTATAAGAGATGAATACGTTTGGGTGGGATGCGACTTAATGCAGATGAGGGATGAGGGAGAGGTGGATGGATGGACAGACACACGGATACGTGAATGTTGGCATCGTGTTGGTGGGTACATACATGCGCTGATGGTACGCTTACATTTCCAGATATTTATTTAGGAGGAGGGATGTCACTTTTCTTGCCTAAATCACCATCACCAGAATCAGCCCAAATCCTTCCTAGTCGCCAGTACAGATCAGAAGGGTTAAGAACGACCAGGCCCATCACTGCTCTAACCCCAGGACGATTCACACCTCTCACCACAACCCCACACCTCCGAGCACCTCTCACACCGCGGAGACAAAATGTAGCCCATCCAGTCTGCGCGGTTAAATTCGCATTTAAAGTCAATCCCATTGAAATGCCTTTAGGATCCCATTAAAAAACAACAACAACAACAACAACAAAACACCTTTGTCATCAACTGAAAAGCAGGGCTGCAGCTCGAGCGGAGTTTAAGAGGCTGCTCAGAATAAAACCAATGTGTCGAAGCAGAAAGGTTCCCTTTCCCTTCCTTGAATTTGCAGCTTTTGCATTTGTGTTTACACGTTTGAGAACGGAGGCATCGGCCACCCCCCGACTGGCCCTGGGTAACAAGCAGGGAGTTCAAATGATGATCGCAAAGATATTAGGAGACACATGGAGCAGGACAGGAAAAACAGCCCAAGGAAGGAAAAGCAATCTCCAAAGTGTGCAAAAGGGGGGACATTCTGCTTTGTGTAAAAGAGACGGACATGTGTCCACCAAATGTTGTCTTACCGTGAAAATCCCCACTAAGGAGGAAAAAAAAATAAGCTGGTGGCTGCTCCAAATTCTGGAACTCCCCCCCCCCTCTCCAACTCAATACCTCCGCTTTGAACTTTTTTTTTTTTCCTTCTCCTTCTCCTTCTTCTTCTTCTTTTTTTTTAAAGGAACGAGGAGGTGGGGATGGACGTGAGTTGGTTCAGGTGCTGCCCAAACGTCCCCTCACCTCTCCCACAGATGTTCCCCTTGAAAATCACCCCCAGCTTTCCTGCTCTTCTCTCAATCTGCGCGGCCGCGGAGCTCCGGGGGCCACCTGAGCGTCCCCACCCGCGGAGCTGAGGGCAGCCCTGTGCCTCCTCCACCCAACCCCGAGCTGTGGCAGCCTCTGCTCCCCTGCCCTTCCACGTTAACTTGTTTATTATTCCAAAGGGGAAAAGAAAAAGCCCTGCTGCCTGTCTTTTTCCAGAACGGTGTCACTCTGAGAGGCAGAGAGAGCAGCAAAGCTGTGACATATAGGTGGGTTCCGTAACGCTCGCAGGGTTTGTATGCAAACTGCAGCCCCTCTGATTATTTTTCTGTAGCACTTCGAGCCAGGCTGGAGACATAACAGCAGTCATTCAGTGTCTCCATATGGTAGAAAAGAACTACGGAAATGTACGTTCTTATTACTAGAGGGGGGGGGAGGGGGGGAGAGAAAGAAAAAGAAAGCAACCCAAAGAGGAAAAAAGAAAAAAAAAGAAATAAAGGAAAATTCGGATGGGAGAGGGGAGGAATTAAACCGATCCCGGCAAAGGCCGAAAGAAAAAAAAGAAAAAAAAAGTAAAAGTGAGCAAATTTCCTCGGTAAGCAGGTGAAAAGAATGACAACACAAACGTGGTCACAACCTGAAGAGCACAGACGTAACACAGCTCATTGAAATGCAAAGGCATGGACCTGCTCGGTGGCTATTTGCAGCATTACAAAACACACCAAAGCACGGCCAACAAACGAGCAGGATCCTCTTTCTTTCTTTCTTTCTTTCTTTCTTTCTTTCTTTCTTTCTTTCTTTCTTTCTTTCTTTTTTTAATAAGTTGAAGGACGAAAACAAACTTGGTCTGAAATGCACGCATCCCCCGGCAAAGATAGGATGGAGCTTTCCCTGCAATCATAATGAATCTTTACAGATTTTCTATTCCTCCCCATTCCACAAAGTTTCCTGGCGGGCCTCGAAACTGTGATGGAAATCTAATGCAATTCCAGCTCTCGGGAGGATAAGAATTAGGACCTTCAAAAAAGTGAGAAATTAAGCTTTGAAAGAGAGACAGACCCTCTTTCCTCCCCTCTCAGCCTTTTTTTTTTTTTTTTTTTTTTTTTCCTCCTTTTTCTTTTTCTTTTCCATATAAACCCTTTAAAACAGTTCGAGCAGATAATATTTCAGAAGAACTTACTTTCAGGACTGCAGTCTATTGGCTCTCTGGACTGAAAACTGGACCCGCAAAACATGTTGCCTGCAATTGCAGCGTTTATCTCATCTGGAAAAGTGCTCACCCATTGCTGCCCCTTACAAGCCAAACCAAGCAGTTAAAGTGTCACTTAACATTCTAGAGAATGTGAAATATATTGTACATTGTCAACTCCCCAAAACCATAAAACTAACTTTATGGACCTCACGTGACTTTTGAGAGCCAGTGAGGGGTATCTGTCTGAGGTCTGGGCGATTTTTACGATCTAACTTCTAGATAAAACCCTATCCATTTGACATCTAAATGTCATACCCACTTTTGGTATAGTTTGCTATTGGTAAAAAAAAAAAAAAAAATACCAAGGGAAGGCGAGCAAATGGTTTGGGATCTGACAGTCCACTTCACATCCCTCTCAAAATCACTTAAGAAGTACCTAAACAGTGGGAGATTAAGTTTGGTAAGTTTTAAGATCCAACTTTACTTGCTGCGAACAAAAAGCCGGAGTTGTGCTGGAGGGCTGGCAGTGGCTTTTTGCCAATGAGAGAGACTCGAAAGTGGAGTGCCTAACGCCTGGTTAGATTCCCTAGGTAGCAGAATGGTAACATTTGCCATCTTTGAGGCTGGTTGGATTTGGCTGAGGCCGAAATGAGTCGTCGGAGCGAGCGTTCGGTAGTCGGAGAGTTGCGATCTGTGATTTACATGCGGAGGCAGAGATGGGATGCGAGCTCAGCACCACCGAGAGATGGGAGAGATTACAGCTCAGGGCAGAGATATTCTGTAGAGATGTTCGTGTAGATCCGTAGATCCATTTTCTGTGTATGCTAAATATACAAACACACGGAGACGTTGATTCCATAGAGCGCAGTTTGACGTGTCTACCGATAGAAATACCACTCGCTTTTAGGATTTCTGTGTGTTTATCTAGATCTGACCGTTCCTGAAACGCACGTATATCGTCTGATGGGGGCGAGGGGGGGGGATTTATACCGCGTCGTTGTAACTTCAAGTACTTTCCAGCAGTTTGTTTGCTATGTTGGACTGGGAGGGAGGGGGAGAGGGGGGGGGAAATGCGTTGATTTTTGGGGATGCGGTTGAGAAATGGGACAAAGCAGCGTTTATTGTCGGCGGTGCGGGGTGTGTGGGTGAGTTTAGGAGCTCCGGAGGAACTCAGGGCCCTCCGGGGAGCTGCTGCCGGTGCGGCTCAGGCCGGCGGATTGCGGGAGCAATGCGGGAAAGGAGCGGAGCCTTTGCGAGTAGGAGAAACGTTTATTTGACTTCAAGGAAAGCTACAAACAAATACAAAAAAAGCGTATAGGCAAAGTACTACCAGGCAGCTAGACATGACAGATGCCTTTTTTTTTTTTTTTTTTTTTCCTTTTTCTTTTTACACGTAACATTGCATTCACTCTGCCCACTACAAACCGTCTATGAGTCACATCAGGAATATTCCTAGTATTTACAAACATTAGAGCACTCTATCCGATTTTATACATTTTTTTTTTTTTTGAATAGTGAAGTTTACCCACGTCTAAGAGCACATCTCAGAAATCAGCCTGGGACGGGAAATCCGGGCCTGAAGTTTGAACTAAAACACAGACTGGACAATTTTAAGACAGAAAGATACATGAGATTTTTCTTTTTTTTTTTTCCTTTTTCCCCCTTTTTAAATTTTTTTTTCATCTTTTTTTCCCCCTTTTTTTCTCCCTTCTTTTTTTCCCCTCTTTTTTTTTTTAATTTTTTTGTACTTTTTTTTTTGTTTGTTTATTATTATTCTTACTGCGACTGTAGTGCAGGAACCCCCGATTTTAGCTCAGGCAGAGAAGAACTCACCCCCAAAGCAGTAAACTCAGGAAGGGGAAAAAAAGCAACAAATAAACAAACAACCGTTATCTGTTACCATCTCATAAATAAGTTATAACATTTATAAGGCTCACATAAAACATGCTGGCTTTCCAGAAAGCATCAAGATAGCACGGACACGTACATTTATAAGAACAACGAGAGCATGGGGAGCATCTGCAAATAAAATTTAATAATAATTAAAAAAAAAAATTAATAGGAAAAAAAAAATTGAATGAACCGAAGATTAAAAAAAAAAAGAAAACCACGACATGAACTCAGTCCTGGGACAACGGTACCATACGAGTCGGTTTCGAATAGCAACAACATGCTGAAAAGAAGGTGCCTCACTGTACAGTACTCCAAAACTAAGATCTGCTGCGCTTTATTTATTTACGGCTTTATTTAATGTTTCCTCTTCTTTCCTCGATATTCCTTCCTCTATAATTTATGGCTGAAAGGCGCTGCCCGCAGAGGCTAAGCTCATGCTTTTCAGTTTATTATCCTTCTTCCATTTCATCCTCCTGTTTTGGAACCAGATTTTGATCTGCCTCTCGGAGAGGCACAGAGCGTGAGCGATCTCTATTCTCCTCCTGCGGGTGAGATATCTATTGAAGTGGAATTCCTTTTCCAACTCCAGGGTCTGGTAGCGAGTGTAAGCTGTCCTCGCCCTCTTCCCGTCTGGTCCAGTCATGTCTGAATAACACGGACAACAACGGGATTTTTTCAATTTCGCTTCAATTCTTTCGACCAGGATTTTCTTTCTTTTTAATTATTACGGCTCTACGTATATTTAACACCGAGGGATAAGATTCACCTTCCTCGGGCAATTAGGAACGCTGCTTATTCCCAATATAGCAGCTTCCCCACCTCTCCCCCCCGGTTTCCTTCTCTTTCCCGCACATCCCCCCCCCCCCCCCCCCCCCCGACACGTGGAAATCCCCCCACCTTTGGCCCCTCCAAAAGCGACACCCGAGAACTCAATATTCATAATTTAACCGAAGAACCGAGATCCTGAAATCGCCCTTTTTCACCCTCGTCTGTTGTTGGTTTTTTTTGTGTGTGTGTGTCTGTGTGTTTGTGCTTGCTTTGCTGGGTCATCTGCATTAATGCTGCTTTCTTTTTCTCCAGGAGGGGAAAAAAAAAAAA